AGTAGAGTCAACCGTAATGACATGGATGGAGTCCAGCTTTCGAGACCTTCATTTGCTAATGTGGCATGACTCAAAATGAGGACAAACAAATGCAAACATCCATTAATAATCAGAATGTGGAATGCACGAAGTATGAATCTAGGAAAATTGGAAATCATCAAAAATGAAATGGAATGAATAAACATTGATATCCTAGGCATTAGTGAGCTGAAATGGACTGGCATTGGCCATTTTGAATCAGACAGTCATATGGTCTACTATGCAGGAAATGACAAATTGAAGAGAAATGGCATCATATTCATCATAAAAAAGAACATTTCAAGATCTGTCCTGAAGTACAACACTATCAGTGATAGGACAATATCCATACACTTACAAGGAAGACCCGTCAATATGACTATTATTCAAATTTACACACCAACTACTAAGGCCAAAGATGAAGAAATTGAAGATTTTTACCAACTTCTGCAGTCTGCAATTGATCAAACATTGCAATCAAGATGCATTGATAATTACTGGTGATTGGAATGCAAAAGTTGGAAACGAAGAAGGATTGGTAGTTGGAAAATGTGGCAATTGGTGATAGAAATGGTGCCGGAGATTGCATGATAGAATCTTGCGAGACCAATGACTTCTTCATTGCAAATACCTTTTTCAACAACATAAATGGCAACTATGCATGTAGACTTTGCCAGGTGGAATACACAGGAATCAATCGACTACATCTGTGGAAAGAGATGATGGAGAAGTTCAGTATAATCAGTCAGAACAAGACCAGGGGCTGACTGTGGAACAGACCATCAATTGCTCATACGCAAGTTCAAGTTGAAGCTGAAGAAAATTAGAACAAGTCCACAAGAGCCAAAGTATAACCTTGAGTATATCCCACTTGAATTTAGAGACCATCTCAAGAATAGATTTGACTCATTGAATACTAATGACTGAAGACCAGACGAGCTGTGGAATGACATCAAGGACATTGTACATGAAGAAAGCAAGAGGTCATTAAAAAGACAGGAAAGAAAGAAAAGACCAAAATGGATGTCAGAAGAGACTCTGAAACTTGCTCTTGAATGTAGAGTAGCTAAAGCAAGTGGAAGAAATGATAAAAGAAATGAACAGAAGATTTCAAAGGGTGGCTCGAGAAGACAGAGTAAAGTATTATAATGAAATGTGCAAAGACCTAGAGTTAGAAAACTGAAAGAGAACACACTGCACATTTCTTAAGCTGAGAGAACTAAAGAAAAAATTCAAGCCTTGAGTTGTAACATTGAAGGACTCTACGGGGAAAATATTAAACGACGCAGGAAGCATCGAAAGAAGATGGAAGGAATACACAGAGTCGCTGTACCAAAAAGAATTGGTTGATATTCAGCCATTTTAGGAGGTAGCATACGATCAAGAACTGATGGTACTGAAGGAAGAGGTCCAAACTACACTGAAGGCATTGGTGAAAAACAGGCTTCAGGAATTGATGGAATACCAATTGAGATGTTTCAATAAATGGCTGCAGCATTGGAAGTGCTCACTTGTCTATGCCAAGAAGTTTGGAAGACAGCTACCTGGCCAATCCATTAGAAGAGAGCCACATTTGTGCCCATTCCAAACAAAGGTGACCTAACAGAATGCAGAAATTATCAAACAATACCACTAATATGACACACAAGTAAAATTTTGCTGAAGATTATTCAAAAGCGGCTGCGGCAGTACATCAACAGGGAACTGCCGGAACTTCAAGCTGGATTCAGAAGAGGACGTGAAACGAGCGGTATCATTGCAGGTATCAGATGGATCTTGGCTGAAAGCAAAGAATACCAGAAAGATGTTTACCTGTGTTTTATTGACTGTGCAAAGACATCTGACTATGGATCATAACAAATTATGGATAACATTGTGAAAAATTGGAATTCCAGGACACCTAATTGTGCTCATGAGGAATCTGTACATAGATCAAGAGGCAGTAGTTGGAACAGAACAAGGGGATACTGCATGGTTTAAAACCAGGAAATGTGTGCATCAGGGTTGTATCCTTTCACCATACTTAACTCAATCTCTATGCTCAGCAAATAATCTGAGAAGCTGGACTATATGAAGAAGAACAGGGCATCAGGATTGGAGAAAGACTCATTAACAACCTTTGATATGCAGATGACACAACCTTGCTTGCTGCAAGTGAAGAGGACTTCAAGCACTTACTAATGAAGATCAAAGACTACAGCCTTCGGTATGGATTATACCTCAACATAAAACAGAAGTCCTCACAACTGGACCAGTGAACAACATCATGATAAACAGAGAAAAGATTGAAGTTGTCAAGGATTTCATTTTGCTTGGATCCACAGTCAACACCCATGGAAGCAGCAGTCAAGAAATGAGAAGACAAATATTTGCATTGGGCATATCTGCTGCAAAAGACCTCTTTAAAATGTTGAAAAACAGAGATGTCACTTTGAGGACTAAGGTGTGCCTGACCCAAGCCATGGTGTTTTGAGTTGCCTCATATGCATGCGAAAGCTGGACAGTGAATAAGGAAGACAGAAGAAGAATTGATGCCTTTGAATTATGGTGTTGGCATAGAATATTGAATATACCGTGGACCTCCAGAAGAATGAACAAGTCTGTCTTGGAAGAAGTACAGCCAGAATGAAGCAAGGAGTTGAGACTTCGTCTCGCATACTTTGGACATGTAATCAGAAGGGTCCAGTCCCTGGAGAAGGACATCATGCTTGGTAAAGTAGAGCGTCAGCAAAAACGAGATGTACTGAGAGTTGCTGCAAGAGTGGGCTCAAGCATAACAATTATGAAGATGGCACAGGACCAGGCAGTGTTTCATTCTGTTGTGCATGGGTTCGCTATGAGTCGAAACTGACTCCACGGCATCTAACAACAACAAATGTATTTCAAATGTGCACTCTCAGTTTTAATGATACACTGGAAAGTTACCTTGGTGTATCTTTGCAAGTCTGCCAAAAGCAGCTTTATTAGTCATAGGATGAAGTATACTGTGACTCCTTATGGATATCATTTTCAGTTTTAATGCCAGGTGGCCTTAGTTGGATTCAGTTACTGCAGGATCTGAGGAGCTGTCCAAATTCTGTTCTTGCCTCGTGTTTTGTGTTATTGAAATTGCCCTTGAATAGTGAGATATTCTAGAGGATTTGAGCAGTCAGAGATTTGTCAGAGTATTTGGGATGAAATTTTGATTCCTAATGGTTGCTTCCTTAAAAGACTAAACTTTCAAGCAAATGTCTACAGTCTCTTTATTCCCAGTAGGCAAATGTGAGTATGTGTGTTTAAAGGCACTCACTGGTGGGTTTGCAGATCTTTGGCCAAATTTGAAGGAAGCATGGGTTTTGCGTTAGTAAAGAGAAGATTGCCCCAGACTGGGGCAGATCACAGCGAGAGGTATGGAGGCGTATGTGTATATGATGAGAAATACGGAACTGGGTTTGACTGGAGTAGAGGCAGCTGTTCTGGGAAGTGGTGAGGGGTGACTTGTGGCCAAAGATCACACTGAAGAAGGAAACAGGGTTGGGTTGATTGAGGAGGAAAGGAGGAGAGATACAACAGTGGATTAAGGATTTGCTTTACAGTAAGAGAGTAGGAGTATTGGGGAGAGAAAATGGGGGAACTGGATTTTTTTTTTTTTTTGGTCTGGAGTTCGCGGGTGGAGGGGGGCAGTAGATAATTGCTTGTCTTACTTTTTAACACCTTGGCACAAATTTTCTAATTTTACATCTAATAATGATTACACTTGTTACTTATGTACTTGAACTACTGATTCCCCAAATTAACATACCTTTTTTGTTTGTTTAAAATTTCTGATTCTCTACTGCTCAGTCTTCTCAATCCACTTTAAGCATGTCTTTTTGAATATGCTGTTAATAACTTTCTCCATCGAACTTGGCTTTTCTCCTCCATTGGAGGAGGTTCTGTCTTTATAGTTTGATTTAAGTAATACTTTTTTGTCTAGTGCTTAATGGTTTCTTAAGTGCTTTGCTTTTGTATTATTTTTTTGTTTTTTCAAAGGCCTTTACCAGTAGATCACGTAATTAAGGAATCCCTCTATTTATAGAGGATGATACAGGCTCTTTCGAGAGCTTGTGAAATGCCTTTGGTCAATTTAGTAAGTAAGTGGCTTTGCTGGGGCTCAGACCAAGGTTTTTTGGTTCCAAGTCCAGTGCTCTTTCTAATGGTTCACTTGGAGTTGGCTTCATGGAGAACTAAGAGTAGTTACAACTCATGAATTTTAACTTCCGTTTAAAATAGTTGGTGCTTCCCTCCTCGGTGAGCAGGCAGGGCGTCCTGTCAGGTAGGTCAGAGAGTGGCTATGCTTATTTTAAGCCGAGGCCGAGTGCACTTTACTGTCACTAATGCATTGCTCTCTGTTTTGGCTTAGGGGAGGGCAGGGAGTACCAATGAAGTTCCACGCATAGCCCCACAGACCAAAGTTCTGGCCACTAGATGTGTGTGGTGTTTGATTTCATCTGTGAAACTCCTGTCATCTGCTAATTTGTATTTGAGGCGTGATTTGTTCTTGAGTATAAAGCTGGAAGTAGGATTCGAAACAGACTTCCAATTTATCATCTTCTTTGAACATTTGACAGAGGAACTGTATGTTCTTATTCTTCAGAATATCTTTTGTGAAAGAGCTGAATCTCAGGGTTTTCTTCCCTGCTGTTATGTACCACCACCTCACAACCTTTCCATTGTTCTTATCCCTATACCTCTACCAAGATGAAGGCAGCATCTTCTAAGACCTGAACTATGAATTTCCCAAGGCCCTTATCACTTCCTATTTTGAGTTTCAAGTATTTATCTCTTCCGTTGGACTATAATCTTCTTCAGGTAGAATTCATGTCCAATTGGTTTTTATTCTCCAAAGTGCCTTGTCCAGAATCCTGTTTTTGAGAAGGGTTGTCAATTGGGTTGAATGGAAGGTTTCTTTCCAAGGTTTTCAGACTTGTCTCTCAGTGTTTTATCTTTTTGGGGTTTTGCAGGTGACAGAGCTCAATGAACCTCTCTCCAATGAAGATAGAAATCTCCTCTCTGTGGCCTACAAGAATGTGGTTGGTGCCAGGCGATCTTCCTGGAGGGTTATCAGCAGCATTGAGCAGAAAACAATGGCTGATGGAAATGAAAAGAAATTGGAGAAGGTTAAAGCTTACCGGGAGAAGATTGAGAAAGAGCTGGAGACAGTATGCAATGATGTCCTGGCGCTGCTTGACAAGTTCCTCATCAAGAACTGCAATGATGTCCAGTACGAGAGCAAGGTGTTTTACCTGAAAATGAAAGGTGATTACTACCGCTACTTAGCAGAGGTAGCTTCCGGGGAGAAGAAAAACAGTGTGGTCGAAGCTTCTGAGGCTGCCTATAAGGAAGCCTTTGAAATCAGCAAAGAGCACATGCAACCGACACACCCCATCCGGCTGGGCCTGGCCCTCAATTTCTCCGTGTTTTACTACGAGATCCAGAATGCGCCTGAGCAGGCCTGCCTCCTAGCCAAACAAGCCTTCGATGATGCCATAGCAGAGCTGGACACACTAAACGAGGATTCCTATAAGGACTCCACGCTCATCATGCAGTTGCTGCGAGACAACCTCACCCTCTGGACAAGTGACCAGCAGGATGAAGAAGCAGGAGAAGGCAACTGAAGATCTCTTGGGTCCCTGGCTCGCTCTTCACCCACCACCCCCGTCATCACTGATTCTTCCTTGCCACAGTCACTAAATATCTAGTGCTAAACCCATCTGTATCGGCAGCACAGCTGCTCAGATCTGCTCTCCTGTCCCTTGGGGAGTAGTTTCAGATAAATCTTTATGGCATTGCTGGATTGATGGTTGCTTTGAGCCCTCAGTAGCTTCCTTTTTGGACTGTGCAGACAAGTGCATTCTGAATGAGGCATTTTACTATGCCTATTGATCTGTCAGGAAATCCAGGTGAAAGTAATGGGGAAGTTTAGAAAGGAGAATTAGCCAATACAGGCTATAATTGATATTTAAATGATCCATTTAAAACAAGCTGATAGTGTTTTGTTAAGCAGTACATCTTGTGCATGCAAAAATGAACTCACCCCCTCCCCCGCCACCTCTTTCTTCAGCTAATGGAAAACTGTTAAAGGAAGCTGACACAAAGAGACAACTTGCTCCTTCCCATCAGCTTTATAATAAACTGTTTAAGTGACTTTCAGTAGCGCCTTGTTTTGCCTCTTTAAATTATGATGTGCGCATACCTTCTTTTCAATGCAATGCATCTAAAGTTTTGATACTTGTAACTTTTTTTTCCCTTTGGTTGTGATTGTTTAAGAATCATGGATTTATTTTTTGTAACTCGCTATTGTCTTTGTGTACCCTGACAGCACCACGTGTCAGCCCATGTCAATCAAGATGGGTGATTATGAAATGCCAGACTTCTAAATTAAATGTTTTGGAATTCAGTGGGTAAATAAATGCTGCTTTGGGGAGATTATGTGTATGGTGTTGATTTTTCCCCCTCAGGGAGTTCTTTCACTGATTACCATTTTGAATCCTGGTTTGAGTCTCTCAAACACTAAAGCATTTTTAGTACAGTATCTAAGTTTTCCTGCCCTCCAATTCTGTTATGTATTTTGTAATATACAGATATGACTTATTAGGATAAGACTTAACTAATTTTTAATAGTTTTCAGTGAACCCAGCTAACATAGTCTCTCTGATCTACTGTTCCTGATGGGTAATTGATATTTGTAAGAGCCTGGCAGACCAAAGTGTTGTCTTCCTCAATACAGCACCTCTGTGAAAGGTTGTGGTCTGTGTGTGTGTGGGTGGGGTTTTTTTTTTTTTTGCTTTTTTTTAATTGTGGTAAATATGTATGTAACAAATCTTCTGCCGTTTCAGCATTCTTCACATGTGCTAATTCAGTGGCATTAATTCTGTTTACCATGTTGTTAAACCATCACCACTATTCATTTCCAAATTTTCCCATCACCCTTAACAGAAGCTCAGTGTCCTCTAAGCAATGAGTCACCCTTTTTCCGTCCCTCCTGCCCGACCCCGGTAATCGCTAACAACCTTTGGTCTCTATACTTTTGACTATCCTAGATATTTCATATAAGTGGATTCACGCAATATTTGTCCTTTTGTGACTGACTGATTTCACTCAGTATAATGTTTTCAAGGTTCATCCATGTCATAGCTTGTATTACAAATCCATTTCTCTTTATGGCTAATAATCCATTGTGTGTATATGCCACATTTTGTGTATCCGTTCATGAGTTGATGGGCATTGAGGCTGTTTCCACCTTTTGGCTATTGCGAAGAGTGCTGCAGTGAACATTGGTGTACAGGTTTCTGTTTGCGTTCCTGCCTTCAATTATTTTGGGTATATACCGAGGAGTGGAATTGCTGGGTCATATAACATCTGTTATATTAAGGTTGGAACAAAGCAACCACAGAGCCTGCACAGATTCATGGTGGGAGGCCTAGCCCCTGCCCCCTCTATGGGAGGAGTGTCAAAGGCTTTGTGGCCATCTTCGCTATAGTACGTCAGGAGAAAATGTTTTGAACACTTACTCCCCAGTAGCTGTGGATCAGCAGCATCACATCCATATACTTATCAGTCTGCTGACTATCAAAACCCTGGTTCTGTGGTGGGTAAAATCATTTACCAGTTTGACGTAGAGTGAGATAGATTCTTTTGTATTCCTTATGGAATCCAAAGTCACATTGGCTTAAGTCATCCTGAAAGAGTCAAGAAAATGAGTGGCTCTTCACGTGGCGTTTATTCATTTTTCTTTGTCTCTTTATTGTCTTTCCACATAATTTGAGAGAAGACATTTTTTTTAAATTTTTTTCCATACAAAAATTTATACATACATTGTTATGTAACTCTAATTGCTCTCCCCATACTGTGACAGCACACTCCTCCTTTCCACCCTGATTCCCCATGTCCATTCAGCCAGCTCCTAACCCTCTCTGCCTTCCCATCTCACCTCCAGACAGAAGCTGCCCGTTTAGTCTCTTGTATCTACTTGAGCTAAGAGGCACACTCCTCACGAGTATCACTGTATGTCCCACAGTCCAGTCCAATCCCTGTCTGAAGAGTTGGCCTCGGAAATTGTTTTAGTTCTGGGCTGATAGAGAATCCAGGGGCCATGCTTTCCAGAGTTCTTCCAGTCTCAGACCGTTAAGTCTGGTCTTACTAGAATTTGAGTTCTGCACCCCACCTTTCTCCTCCATCTGGGTCTCTCTGTTGTGTTCCGTGTCAGGGTGATCACTGGTGGTAGTTCTTCTGGTCTCAGGCCGATGAAGTCTGGTTTACGTGGCCCTTTCTGTCTCTTGGGCTAATCCTTTCCTCGTGGAGAAGACAGACATTGTATTGGCAACTATGACCTGTAGTGTAAAAAAACACTGGCAAAACTGACAAATTTTAACTGAAAAACTGATTTCAAATAGGGAAGCTTGGATTTCTGTCTTTAGTCCAAGTGCAATGGCTCCTGCATACTAGACAGTCTATTCTGACTGCAATGTCTCAGAAAATATTGCTGTGATCCCCTCTTCCCAACCAAGCTTTTGTGGGTGAATGATCAGAGAGCTTAAGGCACTTTCACATGTTTACATTATTTCTTTCGATCTTCTTAAACAACCTATCTTTCAGGTTATTTCTTTTTAAAGATAAGGAAACTAAGACTGAGAAAAGTTACATAGCTAAATAAATGATAAGTGGTAGAGCTTAAGACTCTGGTTGGTTTCTCTTCCTCCCAGCTGAGAGAAGGTTCTCGGGAGTGGACACATGATACAAGTTCACACAGAGGTGGGTTTCGCCACACATTACTCCCTCTTTTTTCTTACTATTGCAGAATCGTGAATTTCACACAACTGGTGTCTTAGGCTGGGTTCTCTGGAGAAGCAAAACCAGTGCAGCTTATAAATATATATATATAAATAAATATATATATAAATATATATATATTTACATTGAGGAAATGGCTCATAGCAGTTGTAGATGCTGGAAAGTCCCAAGTCCATGGATCAGGCTGGAGGCTTCTGACTCATGTAGCTGCAGGGCCTGGTGAACCCAAGATCAGCAGGTCAGGCAGCAGGCCTCTGGCTCAAAGGCTGCGGAGGTTGATGAATCCCAAGATCAGCAGGCAAGACAGTAAGCTGCTAGCTCAAGTCCCAAGAACTGGAGGTCAGATAAATCGGAGCCAGTTGCAGCATCCAGAGCAAGCAAAAGCCAGTGAACTTTGCCATAAAGTCCACTTATAGTGGATGCAGGCCACACCCTTAAGGAAAGTCCCTTTCAACTGACTGGCTGCTAATGACAGATCTTATCACGGAGGTGATTACATTATATCGGATCTCATTATGGAGGTGATTACATCATTATACAACTGCTAAACTACATCATAACTGCCAAGCCACTGAGGGCCATGGCCCAGCCAAGTTGACACACAATGTGGCCTGTGTTTTAGCTTGGGAGGGTGTTGCGCAACTCACCCTACGGGAATGTTGGTTGATATTTTACACTGAAGGTAAATATTGAGATTATATATGTCCTTTTCAAGTTTTCTTAGTGTTGTTTCTGTAGTCAGATGTAATAAGATTAGGGACACAACCTGGATTTCTGAAATTAATAGTGATTATTATTAAAGCTTTGAGTATTCTTTAAAATAGAAAACAAGCCTCAATCTTAGTTTAAAAAAGAAAAAAGGGCTAACCCCTTAAGCGCTCTTCCCAACTGCCCTCCCCATAAGGCATCTTTTGAGGCTCAGCATCACCAGTTGACCTGTTCACTGGGTAATGTGTCTCCTACCCCTCAATTTTTATCACTCTATAAGTGCCCAGGACTGAACATGCTTGTTCAAGTGGGTTTGTTCAGTAACACAAAGGTCTTCTAAACACCTTATTCTTGACTAAAACTTGGCACTAGCAGGTGAAAATGACTATGAACCAATCTTTGAATTTATATTCTGGTGGAGCACATAACTTCTCAGCATAGAAGTTTAACCTATTTTCTCATTCTGAAGTAGAGGTATACTCCTTCAGAAGCCTGTTTCAAGCTGACCCAATCTTAAGCTAAAATGCTTACTGAGTTCAACTTAAATTAGTAGGTCAGGTATTTTAAAGCTACAAGTTTAAGTAGCTAACACACTTGACTTTGATAAACATGTAGGCATATAAATTTTACATTTGAAATGCCCATCACAGCTGCTAAAGCACTTACGTTTTCATTTCACAACTATCTTGTGAAAGGTTTTGTCCCCACTTTATAGACAAGGAGGAGCCTTGGTGGCATAGTGGTTAAAGCACTTGGCTGCTAATCAAAAGCTCAGTGGTTCCAACCCACCAGCTGCTCTGGGAGACAAAGATGTGGCAGTCAGCTTCCGTAAAGATTTACAGCCTTGTAAACCCTATGGGGCAGTTCAACTCTGTCCAGAAGGGTCTCTAATAGTAGGAATAGACTTGACAACGGGTTTGTTTTTTTGGTATTACAGATGAGGAAACTGAGGCGCAAAGGTTTTGGACCTCTTGAATTCACACAGTTGGTAAGCCACAGGTGATGACCTCCACCCGAGACTTCTAATTCAGAGTTCTAACTGCCTTCCCTGGTGGAATCGAGCAGTGCCATGCTGCTAAGGCTCTGGGCAACCTTGGCAAACCATACAAATTTTGAGGCTCAGGTCCCCCATTTAAAATTTTTTTTATTATACTTTAGCTGAAGGTTTACAGAACAAACTAGCTTCTCATTAAACAGTACACATATTGTTTTGACATTTGTTAACAACCCTACGACATGTCAACACTCTTCTTGACCTTGGGTTCCCTATTACCAGCTTTCCTATCCCCTCCTGCCTTCTAGTCCTTGCCCCTGGGCTGGTGTTCTCCTTTAGTCTCATTTTGTTTTATGGGCCTCTCTAATCTTTGGCTGAAGGGTGAACCTCAGGAGTGACTTCATTACTGAGCTAAAAGGGTGTCCGGGGGCCATACTCTGGGGGTTTCTCCAGTCTCTGTCAGGCCAGTAAGTCTGGTCATTTTTTGTGAGTTAGAATTTTGTTCTACGTTTCTTTCCAGCTCTGTCCGGGACCCTCTATTGTGATCTCTGTCAGAGCAGTCAGTGGTGGTAGCCAGGCACCATCTAGTTGTACTGGACTCCATCTAGTGAAGGTCATGGTAGTTGTGGTCTTTTAGTCCTTTGGACTAATCTTTTCCATTGTATCTTCAGTCTTCTTCATTCGCCCTTGTTCCTGACGGGGTGAGACCAGTGCAGTCTCTTAGATGGTCCCTCATTTTTTAAGTGAAGAATTTGGATTATGTTTTAATTCAACTCAAAGTATTCAGTGTGTGTAAGGCACCCTCTTTGGTCTGAGAATGGGAGGCGAAGAGTAAGTGATAAATGGGGTGCTATGAGAGAACCTAAGAGGGAGCTAAAGATTATATATGGCATGAACCGAAAAGGCTTCTCTACTGTGTGATCTCAAGGGTTTACTTCCAGCTCTACACACTCTTAGGATGTTTTAAAACTTGTCCCCTCAAGATAAATTTGAAGTAGGTAAGGTGAGGTCATCTGAATGTTACAGCAGTGGAAACTGAAGTCCAGAGAAATGAAATGGCTTTTTACAGTTACACAGCAAAGTTAATAACAGAAGCTAGAATAGTATTCAGACCCTCAAAATCCTTGTTCATGGTTCTTT